GGAGAACGTTTACAATCACGAAAGCAAACTCAATGTTTTCTAGAAAAAATTGAAAGTTTTTTTATAAGGTATTTTTTCCTACGATTGTGATATTAATAAATTATTAACTTATATTATTTAAATCTATGAAATGATTTATAATTTATAGTACTGTAACAATTTAAGATAAAGATAATATCGAGGATGGAAGCTTAAAAGATCCTTTGGATTGCACAATTGACGATGTTTTCAATTTTGAAGATTCTTATAGTGATTACGATTAACGAGGTTGTTATATATTCAAAATCTATGAGTCTCATGCTAGAGGTGAAATAGGTGGAACAAAAAAAACAGATTATTTTATTTAAAAAAAATAGTTCAGTAATAAAAATGTAATAAGCAGTTAATTGATTAAGTATATTTATATATTTTGATTCGCTGAATCTGAACCTGAAGTAGAATCGCTTCGTAATGCTCCGTTCATTTTTTAATCGCGAATTAGCCGTATTTTAAGGAGTATTTCGCATTAAAAATGATAACGGAACGTGGTAGGCCACTTCTGACTACGGAATGGTGTTCAGCGGAAAAAATTACATAGAAATAATCTATATAATATGCTTGTTATAGATATTTTCTGTCTTGTGTGCTGAGATTATAGACTCGTTGAAAATGTTGATACTTTGATCTAATTTTTTTTGTTCAAAAATAAACAAAAAAAAATTTTGAATGACAGGTTATTATTTGTTATTAAAAATGCTACAAAATGGCTTATTTACTTTTTAAAAAAAAATTACTGAACCATATTTAAAACTCGAAAAACTCTTTTTTCTTGAGAAAATTTGAACTTTGACCTTCATTTTGAAGGTCAAAAGTTTAAGTGATTCATACGCGACCATTTTTCCTTCATTCTACATCATTTGAGCTTTAAAATATCGTTGGGTTCATTTCGCTAGGGGTATTGGTTCGCGATTTATTTCATTTTGGAGATTTATATCTGATTTGGAACACTGTGGGCCGTTTGGCCAAGAAAAGATCGCTCGTACGCTAATTGTACCAAAGCTAGATCTGCCTCAGCAAACGTTGTCGATAGAGCTCGTACAGGACGTTAAAAAGGAACACGATATCCCAATATACCCGTACAAAGATGCTAAGTTGAGCATCTTAATAGGACAGGACAATTGGCCGTTGATTATGTGTGACGAATTACGGCGGATTGAGGATAGCGGGCTCGTTCTTTCACACACGCGATTGGGCTGGTCGGTACACGGATACATTGAAAACAGGCAGAATTCGAACAGAGACTCGCAAATACTCGCGAAATGTTTTATCGCTACCGAGGAGGAGATGACGCAACAACAAAAGCTCGCGGAATTAGAAAAATTAGTTCATGACTATATAGAAATGGAAAATTTCGGAGTAGTTAAAACCGAATCGAGAGACAAAAACAACGAACGGGCTTTAGCGATTTTGGAGGCGACTTCGCGTAAATTTAGCGAGGGATGGCCGGACACCTTCCAGACGTTTTATGGATCTTTTCTCGATTCCGCGATTTTTAAATAATTCAAAGTTTGCGTATTTTGTTGCATTAGCGTTCTTTTTGTTTTTATATCTGTAATATTCTCGTAGTTTTAAATTGCTTGTTTTTTGTAATATTCATCGTCAAACGGTTCTTTGTATTTGTGAAATTAAATAAATCTAGAATGTTATAAAAATTGAATCATGATTCGATTATTTTCACCCACCTCACCTGAACATAATTTATGTTACTTACCGTGGAGTAGGTTAGATTCAGCAATGCCTGCCACGTTTCTAATGCTCTTAGTCGGATCCTCTTCTAAACACTCTAATACATTTTCTTCATTTTCCACGTTGCGTACAACACGTGGAGCACCGACTACTCCTTGTCCAGCACCTCGATGAGCAAGGGGAATGAGGTTGCCGTTCTCTCGACCACAATGTATCGCTCCCAAAATGACATTTGCATCCAGACGCCTTAAATCAGGCGGGTTCCTGCGGTCCAACGCAGCCGCGTACAAACGCGCGGCTTCGTTAGCATTGCGCCCGGCCTCGCCGTAAAAAAGAATCATCTCCGTATACTCGGCACCCGTATACGGTGCACCACGACCGACAGGCCTTCCTCGGCCACCCGCACGACCTCCAGCTCGACCTCTACCTCTACCGCCACGACCCCCGCGATCACCCATAATTAATGCCGGAATGTAGCTTAGAAATTGCCACTTTTATTCGCACCGAACGCAACTTAAACAAAATTGGTTGCACACTATGATGAAACTTATTGTAAAGGATAACGCCACCACATGTTTGTAAAAAAAAAACTTTGACAACAAAAACGCATCAAATTTTTCAATAAACATGTTCTGATATTTAATTTTATATACAAAAGTTTCCGTCAAATTCAAGATTTTTATTTATGAAGTTTATTTTTTTTTGTACTTTGAATTTTTAAAAATAAAAAATTGTTGAATAATTGATTCAAAATATTTTTTATAAACAACAGCGAATGATAAAGAAAAAAAGTTTTATTCCGATAGAAATGGCAAAAAATTTCCAAAATCGACATCAAAGTCGCGTACTTTCGTACGCTTGTCCGCGCGTATTTCCCCTCTCCTCTGTAGCTAATGTGAGAGGCTTTTCGGAGTGTCGGCAAAAGTTTCACGGATAGTAATGTCACTGTCAGTAATACCGAATGGTGAGCGAGATACAATTAATCTCACTCAATAAGCAATAATTGAAAATAAAAAGTCTCAGTATTAAATTTTTACTTAAATGCTCTTTATTTGTATTTCTAGTAATAACTAAAAGAATCACTTTTGATTTGATTAGAAAAATTACTGTTAATTTATATGATTGTTATAAAGTTATTAACAAAAATAAATGATAAAACTTTCCCTCTCTCCTCTCTGGTTAATGTCAGAGGCTTTTCCGAGCGCTGGGAAAATTTTACAGCCTCTCTCATCTATGATCATTCGAATGAAATAGATTTCATTCGAATAAAAGTGGCAAAACATTGCCAAAAACGAGATTGAAGGTGGATACTCACGAATGTGCGGCTGCACGGCTTTCTCCCTCTCTTCTCCGGTTAATGTCAGAGGCTTTTTCGAGCGTCAAAAAAAAAAATTCGTGAACACATCTTATCATGACCTTTTAAATGAAAAAGGTTTCATTCGAATTAAAGTGGCAAAATATTGCCAAGATCGACATCGAAGTTGCGTACTTTCGTACGCTTATTACGTAAAATTATTATAAAATTACGTAAAATTACTTTAAATTTATATGTTTATTCTAAAGTTATAAAAAAAACAAATTCTAAGACATTGTTAGACGGTTTATTCTAAGAAAATGGCGTCTTTACAAGGCGGTTCTTTCTTCGATGCGCTGCTAAGCAACCAATGATATTTTGCAATGTTAGTTACCGCGTCGTCTCAATCACCGCTTCGGTTGTTACGGCCAAGTGGAAGGGAAAACAGCAAAAGAGGAGAAATTTGGTAGTCGACCGAAACGGCGCTCTGATTGGTCGAAATTATTAATTTTTGAAATTAATTTTCTCGGAAAGTATTGATGATACAAATTTTTTGAAAACGGCAATCAATTCAGAACATTTTGTTCTACAGCCCATTTTTGGGAACTACAATCCTTCTGAATCACCCTGTATGATATACGCTGAGAATTTCAAACTAAATAAATTAAAATTAGCTGAAATATCTGTTGTTTGAGAAGTATAGTTAATAAAAGAATTTATAAAAAGTTACGGAAAAACTCTGGTGAAAAAGAATATTATATGAACGCTAAAATTGATTGTTACGTGCCAATTTTGATATCTCTTCAAAATGGCCACGCGCTAGACCGTTTTTAGCTCCGAGTGGTCCTGACTCGGCGGACTAGACCTTCGATACGGTACCCCGACCGTATCACCGAATGGATAGCGTCTCTTCTGATAATATCCGAACTTCGAGCTCGCGAGGGGACAGCAGGAGTAATTGAGTAAGCAAAAGGGAAGGGGCTTCGGCGGTTTTCTTAAATGAACTTACACCGGGGTGTTATATAGGTTTATATATTTATATATATTTTAATACGTCTAATGACACTTCTAGTAATATTATTGCGTGCTTTACGGTTTATTAAATAAATATTCGCGCGGCGAGTGGCGCTTAAACACTTGGTCCCGGTACGCAATCACGTGGATTCGCCAAAGAGGCAACCTTGATTATGCTTAGTAGTATAAGAGCGGAGAGAGAGAGAGATAATAAAATAACGATAAGGAAGAGATTTCAACTTATCGAGGATAGAGCTCAAAAGTACTCACTCTGTTGTCTAGGTCCTTGGTATTGTTAGGTTCGTTTTAATAGTTTATCACTGGTTTCGAATTAATTCAATAAGCAGGTCCAATATATTTTCCTTATCCAATAGGATTCCAGTGGTATTCCAATATTATTCCAATAGTATTCCAATAAATAAAAGATCGTAAGAAATAACGATTCTCGGGACTTCGATATAATTTTTAATATTCTTAAACTCTTGCAGGGGCTCTTAGTCGAGCGCTGATTCCTGACTGACTAAGGATTACGTTCGTTGTTTACGCCGGTTCGTTTTATATCTTTTGTCCCTCGCTTTTCGTCTCTCTCTCGCACATATACTTTAAACGTTTACGCTTCTCGTATCGGCTCGTCTTACCTAGCTAAGCACGCTGACCGAAGCATGCCGTCGCAGCATGCTGGCGCAGCGTGAATCAGCCTCTGCCGCACGTTCCCATCGAGTCGCGCACACGAATACTGCTGACTATACTATGTTTGAACGGAAATCTCGGGTTCGAAATATTATTTGACAAAATAAAATAAAAAAAAAATAATACAATGAAGCGTCACATAACATTGATCTTAAAATAAAAGTAAATCATTCCGTACATTTAAGGCTTCTACAGCTTTTTCTGACACCAGTCCTAAATTTTGAACGTGAGACAATAAAGTTTTGAAGCGTTTAACTCTCTTTCTTAGCCTATATAGCTATGATGATTTGGCTCTATTGATTCTTCGCAATCTCTCAATTTCGATCTTTGCACTTGTCAACACTTTCAATATAAAAAACTTATTATCTAAATTTATTGTATCTATATCCAGGTTGACAATAGATTTATGAAACAATTTCTCTGTGGATGATTGTGGCAACGAGTTCACTGTCTCATCTCTATAAAAATAAATATACAGATTAATAACTTTACAGCACACATTTATATGTTCGTATCAAACTTTGATTGCACAACAATACTTTGAATTTATTTTCTTGTAACACGTAGGCTGTTCTTCTAAACATCTTACACTATTTTCATCTGAATTGATAATTATTTGTGAACTATCCAACGAGCTTTCAGAATCAACATTCATTCCTCTACAGTGTTTATCTTCAGAAGTATCAAAAGTATTTCCAACTTCGGTCAATTTCATAAGAACACTTGGATCTCTATTTTTGAAAAAAATTGTTCATGTTTACATGAATATTTCTAATTATTCTTTTACAACACACAATGTTATTAACATTTAATATTACTTACAGAATATCAAGAGATTTTTCGTTAGATTTGTAAACTTCAATTTCATCTTGAAAATTGTAAAATATTGTGGGAATTGCTGTCTTTTTTAAAGTTACTCTCTCGTTTAAGCGATTGAAACATTCTTCTCGAAAGTATAAAAAACATATATATGAATAATCGTCAAATAATCTTCTACTGTTGAAATGATCATTGACACTTTTTTCCCACTCCTGTCGTCTGCTTGGATATTTTGGTACTCTATTAAAAAAAAAAAAAATTCTGATTTCTGAAAAACAAACCCCTTAACATCGATACCAATAATAAACTTACTGAAAATAATTCAGTTTGAGACCATCAGGGCTATCCCATTGGGGCTTGCAGTTTTCAATTCTACATTGACGAGGCATTTTGCAATAGCATACGCGAGGAAAAAACAGAAAGTATAAAAAACTAAACTGTTATACAAAGCCACATGCTTTGATACAACCTGAAAGTTCGCAACATATAAAACTATATCTATATATACGACTAATGACAGGGAGCGCGTTCAGCTAATCAGCGTGCAGTGCGAGAGAGATAGCCTATCCTTTTTATCGCACTATCTCTTTCTATACCCGATGACGGTTCAGCAGCCCTGCGGGCTGCCTCTAGTAGTATATGCTCGAAGGGTTAGACCGACCGAGGTGACGGTTGCACGCTGCACTGACACACACATTGTTCTACACATAAGCATTAGGATCGTTTTCATCGTTTGCTTTATCTCTGTTCAATAATCCGCCATGAGGATCGAACGCGGACAAAAGCTATTGAAAGCTATTGCAGCTTAGATATTAAAGTATCGTTTCCGAAAATTGTGACTAATTGCAACTAGTTATAAATTTTATTTTCACATTGTGTTCTTTATATATTGATTGGTGTTAAAGAAGCAAAATTAACAGCTTTATATATATCGCGTATTTTGGAATTGGGAATTTGGTAGCCATTTTGTTACTCACATTTCCAGAAAACTCTGCTTTTTATCAGTGCATATATCATTATTAGTGCTATACCATCTAATTACGACTGTTATATATTACATACTTATAAAATGGAAAACTCGTCTTTAAAGAGATGTAGAATTATATATCTGAACGGAGAGAAGCAGGGAGAATTTGACACTGTCAGTGCAAGTAGGATCAAAAATCATAATTTCGAAAATTGTAATTTCAAAAAAATTTGAGGTACAAGTAAGTGGATGAAAATGATGATACAAAAATAACAAAAGTACAAATAATTTTTGTAACTAGTAAGTACCAAGAACTCATTATTTTAACCTATAACATGTCTTTTGGATTTTTAAAGTCATTTCATCTGGAAGTTTATTAAATTGATTTTCTGTTAAGGATAATTTTTTCTTTCTTTTAAATATATAAAATTAATCTGCATTTGATTTATCTGAAACTCTATGACTACAGCTGTTTCAAGAAAAAATGCAATGGAAGCCAGCCCACACAGCAAAGTATAAATTCAATTGCTCATTTACCTTTATTGTTAAAAATCACTAATGCACTGAGTTCTATATTATAAGACTGACTCACGTAAAACAAGCACCCCAAAGGGAACAGATATTACTACGTCCACGCCGTTATTCCTGGGTGACGCTGAATATAATAATAAAATTGGTGTCAAAAGTACGGGTTTCCATTTAAAATAACCAACCTCCAAATCACCTTGACATTAAGGTTGAAGGTCAAATCCAAGGTCACCATCGAATTCCTCGTCGAAAGTTAGTCCTAGAACGACCTTGAGCTACGTCGCAAAAATCCAAGCCTGAGTGGTAGAGCGTGGAATCGACCCATACCTTGATGAGACTAAATGACCTTGAGGTTAAGCTCAAGGTCATACCTCACTCATGACCTGAGTGCATGTTTGGACGTAAAATTTTCCGCTCTTTCGATTAGCAGTGTCGAAAATAGGGGTTTCCATTTAAAAAAAGAAGTTGACCTCCAAATGACCTTGACATTGAGGTTGAAGGTCAAATTCAAGGTCACCATCGAATTCCTCGTCGAAAGTTAGTCCTAAAACGACCTTGACCTTCGCAAAAGCTTTGCTACCTGGAAAATTATTTTCTTGATTCGTTACTTTTTGGACACCCTGTATATATCTATATATATGGGTCAGAATAACATCTTTTTAAAAAAGTGTGCGCACGGGGTCAACCGATCGGCCTGAAACTTGGAATATATATTCTGCATTACAAAAAAGTAAATTTCCCCAAATTTCAGCCCTCTAGGTCCAAAATAACGCCCTCAAGACTGTTTTAAAATTCGAAAAATCACCTTTTTTAAGCCATTTTCGGTCTACTACTGTGGGCAAAAAGTAAGGTGAATTTGTTTGTAAAATGAAAAATCTTTATTTATTCTTCTACATCAATGTCATCCCCTTCGAAGTAATCCCCTCCCGATAAAATACACTTATGCCAACGTTTTTTCCAATCCTCGAAACATGCCAAATAGTCCCTTTCCGGTATAGCCATCAGCGCCTTCTTCGATTCAGCTCTTATCTCCTCAATCGACTCGACCGCGTTCCCCGGAGTGGTCTCTTGAGTTTTGGGAATAGCCAGAAGTCACACGGAGCCAAATCAGGCGAATACGGTGGTTGCGGAACGATATGCGTCGAATTTTTGGCGAAATGGTCACGAAGAACGAGTGCAGTGCGTTTTCGGTACCAAACGAGATTTGACTTTTCGTAGGCCCAAATGGTCTTTCAAAATTGTTTTCACAGATCCTTCTGATATTCCGATCATATCAGTAAGGTCTCTAACAGTCAACCGACGATTTTCGAGCACTAATTCCTTCACTTTATTGACGTGTTGGTCATCTGTTGACGTCGATGGTCGTCCGGAGCGCTCCAAGTCATCAACACGTTCTCGACCCTCTTTGAAGTCTTTGTACCACTTATAAACATTTTTCTGCGAAATGGTAGAATCACCAAAGGCCTTCCGCAACATCCTCAACGTTTCCGCAGCCGAAATTTCATTCCGCAAACAAAATTTGATGGCACTTCTTTGCTCAATTAAATCAGACATTGTAAAAATCGAAACATGCACTCTTGGTCGTTTGGTAAACACAAGCGTAAATATATTACTGATGATGACATTGACATGAAATTTGTCCCAGATGTAACTCGCAGTCCTACCAACTCAAGAAAAAAAGAACTAGCCCGAAATGTTAAGCCCGCGAAGTTTAAATTGAAAATTCACCTTACTTTTTGCCCACAGTAGTATATTCAAACACCTCCCAAATCTCAAGTTTTTAAGCTACAGAAACGGGCGGAGTCGCATTTTCTTTGTCTCTTTAAGGGCTTTCCAACAAAGTAATATAAGATGAAGGTTTTACCAATACCAAGAAGCCTAGAGGCTTGTAACTGAACTGTAATTTTCACGTTTTTCGCTGATCTTTAAAGTCCTGTAGTATCGTTGGTTCTCAATATTTCTGATTTTTGAACGACAGTATTGGATAGCTCTTGAAAAGACAAAGAAAATGCGACCCCGCCCGTTTTTCTAGACCTAAATGCAAGGGAGCTATATCTTTTCAAAGTCAGCAATTTTCGCTGTAAATAGCGTTCTAGGCTAATTTTGAACCCGTCGGAAATTTTTCTATCAAGCTCGATCGAGCTGAAAATTTCAGGGAATACTCATTAAGTGTTCCCAAACAAGGTCCAATATGTTTGACGGAGTATATCGAGCGTTTAGTCCTACTATAAATCCACTAAAATATCCGATTTTCCTCTTCCCGGCAGTTAACAAAACAAGCATGGGCAAGCTATCTAATGAATTTCTTGTGGCCTCCAAAATAATCTTTGTTTTCGGCTTATTACAATCAAGGGACTGCGTGAAATAAGGGCCCTCAATCGCAATGTGGATCTATCAATTGAGCTTTTAAAAGTACCTCCAACTGTTTATCAACATTCTTGATTATTGTTGCTTATTCGAAAAATGCCGATTCAAATTCATAAATTGTGCATTTTTTGTGAGGAAGAAATCTCGAAAATTTCAAATATTTATATATATATATATTTACATTTATATTCGATGAAAGTACAACAAATGCTCTTCCATCACTTTTGTAAGGGGTCGTCGTTACACATTACTTGAATTCATAAACGAAATGAATTTTAACTAAAAATAACTTACAGCAATCATTCATCCAATTATTTTTTAATAATAGTTTTCTTAAAATTATAAACTAATCTTAACGGTTTCTTTATTTAAATCAAAAGAATATAGTTTGACTTTCGAAGTATCTTTATCGATGGGTTCAACATAATGGATTTTTCTAGTTTCAGTCACAGTTTTTGCAGAATTGAATCTTTTGGTTAGTTTCTTGTTCCATGCTACAATTTCACTCTCATTAACATAAAAGCATCTGCAACGTAATACAATTTTATTTAGTTACTTATTCACAACATGAATCGTGAAAACAAATCTTACCGAACAGCTAATTTGAGTGTACTCAAGTGGTTGTACATTTGAATTGCATTCAAAATTTGAGTTCCTTGTAAAGAGGCTTTTCGAATAAGCCGTTTAATAAATCCTCCTATGCCATCACATACGCTCTTTCCGTGTGAAGTAGCGACGAAATTATATTCTTCTATTATTATTCCGAAGTCTTCTGCATGGAAGCACAAGTTAATAAAATGATTCCTATAAGAAAGATCATTTGAATTAGGGTGGGTAGATATGTAAACTGTTAAGATAATCTCTTTAAATTAATATTAATAAAAGTTGATTAACAAAATTATAAAATAATAAAAAATTTATTAAAGAATGTGAGCTTACTTGTTTTTAAATTGTGTGCACCATCAGAAAAATGAATTAATTTTTTAATCCAAGGAAATTTTATTTTGATGTCATCTATTATTACTTTCATGAATTTATTAATCGAGTAAGCCTGATGAGCTAAACTTTCTGAAATTACGCAAAATGTTTGATGTTTTAATTCATCTGATGTTTCCTCTTTGTAATACACTGCTGTAGTAAATAATGTGGCAGATGAATTGTTAAAGTAGAATCCTTGAGTTGAATTTTGACTTATGTATCCATAGTATTCGGCGAAATCCATAATAAACAATCCAGTATCTTTGCCTAAAGTCTTTTTACAATGTACGAAATAATCTTTTTGAGCCGAAGAGACAAAGTGATGATCAGTAAGCTTATAAATATCCTCAACTAATTCATCTAAAAAGACATTGAAAGGTTCTATGAAGTTCTTGAGCGAAACTCGTTGATTTGTTGATTCTTCTGAAGTATTATTTTTTAATGATACAGAAGTCCATATACTATAAGATATATCATTTATATTCTGATCATTTATTTTAGACAATAGAAACTCACGAATTCCATTTTGCTTAGGACAATCATCACATT